ATATTAAAAAGATAATATATAAGTATTAAAAAAATAACATATAAATATTAAAATTATTATCTTTGGGTATATGATTATTATATATGGCTGCAAAGACCCTTGTGCATCTAATTATAAAAAGCTTAACCAAAAATAAATATAAATGTATATAAGTTTTTAAAAAAATTTTCGATGCTTAAACGAATATTGAGTTTTTATACAATGGCACTAAACTTGAATGAAATTTTTTGACAGAATATTTTGACAGGACGTGTTAAGGGCAACGAAATATTACTTTGGTGCGATGAAAAATCATTTTTTCATTGCTCCAAAGAAAGAAATTTTAATGATTATTAAATTTTTAATAGGGATAAAAATAATAAGTAAGTAATAAAAAAATACATAAATATTAAAAAAAATAACATATAAATATTAAAATTATTTATCTTTGGATAAATGATTATTATATATGGCTGCAAAGATCCGTGTGCATCTAATTTTAAAAAGCTTAACCAAAAATAAAAATAAATGTATATAAGTTTTTAAAAAATGTTCGATGCTTAAACGAATATTGAGTTTTTATACAATGGCACTAAAGTTGAATGAAATTTTTTGACAGAATATTTTGACAGGACTCCAGATATTACTTTGGCGCGATGAAAAATCATTTTTTCACCCTAAAAATAATTCATCACTTTTGTGTCAGCAGCAGACAGATATATCATAGAAAGGGCGACGTAATTCGCATGTCTCAACACATGTTCCTCTACGTGAACCATGGACTATCTCTTGTCACAATATCAATTTTTTTTTCTTCTTTTTGTTATTTAGCGATTCTATGAATGAAAAAATCCCTCGTGTGAGTCGGAAGCAGTTAAGAGGATGAAAATGCAATAGACGAGCTTGCGATTTCTGGTGTTGAAACTGGAGTTTAATTCGGAGAGGAGGTTGATGAAAAATGTGTGTAATACACCTTTAGGGGAGATCTACATATTAAAATTGTTAAGGATGACATATTAAGACCCATGTAACGATTTTAAATTATTTTTTCTCTGTACTAACTTCAAATGTTGTTAAATTACCTTGATACTTTTAATTCAAGTCTGAAGCCTTTAGTTTTACTTGGAGCGACGAAAAATTCATAAATTCGATTAATCAATTTACTATGACAAGTTTTCGTTTATTAATATACAAATGAATGCGTAAATTTAAAGGTTAAATGTATTGTAACTATTTCAAATTAATGCATATATACTTAGTTAGAGTCCAGTTTGAAAAGCACTAAATGATTTTGTATTGTTTTTCTACGATTTTTAATAGATTTCTGCATTTAAGCTGTCCTAAACTGAATAGCACAAACCATCACACCTTTTTAATCAGTCCTTAAACATTAGTTTCCTATAGTAGTGCGTGCATCATAAGAGGTACGTAAACAAAAATTAGATTTTTAATTTTTTTTTTCAATAAACTCTAAATTGCTTTAGTTTTTACTATGGAAACCTTATCATTTAATGTATAACAAAAAAAAACTGTGCAATGCAAAAGCTTTTTGATTTAATAATATCTCAATGCTTTTTTTTATATTTTAATTTCAACTTTATTCATTCAACTTTAATGTTTTTCCATTTATTTTAGTTTTTAAAAGTATTATTATTTTATTGGTTTAGTTATATCATTAGTTTAGTTATATTAGTATTCCATTTATTTTAAAATTAAAATTATATGGCTGAATCTGTAGTTTTAGATTTAAAAAAATCAAACAATTTATTTATCATATTTAAATATTAAAAAAAAAGAATTGGGTACAATTTGAGAAGCAGGGAAATTATTACGCCTAACCATGTGATTTAAAGCAGATTTAATTAGATACCTGTAGGCGACGTCACGCGTTTGTGTCGTACCTGATTGGATTCTGAATCAACAAATAACACGATTTACCTACGATGACGTCACTTGTGAGTATCCAATGACAGCTCAAGTGATACACAAAAACTTAGAAAATTCTTACGTACCACGTGAACTAAATTACACGAGTGGTAGTAAAAGAGAAATCTTGAGAAATATGACTCAAAAGCGAAATATCTTTTGAGGTCTTTACTGCATCACTTGAACTAAAATTCTTAGGGGAACTATTGTAAATTTACAATTTGACTGCACAATGCGGTTTGAAATTTTCAGTGCACCACTAACGTCGCACAAGTACGTCATGACATACATATTGAGAAGAACTGATCAAGTACGTCGTAAAATATATGTTTAGAAGCACTGCTATAATTTAGTAAAATTGACACATTAATGAGCGTATTATCTTGTATGATGAGCCCAAAGGTTTTTTAAATGCAAAAATATTTAAGTCTTAATGAAATTTTTTTTTGTTGCTCGGCCATTCATTGTGTTCTAGGTGTGTGTTCTGAAAACTTTAAAAGCATGTATCTCGAAGCTACATTTTTTAAAGCTGACATAACTCGAAACATTTTTACCCATGGATTTCAAATTTACATTGGTTTTGTTAAATTACATACTTAACAAACTATTTCATTTATTATATAACTTTTTTAGCTATAAAGTACGCAGAGAAAAAAAGTATTGTAAAATAATGGTAAAATAGTTCACGGTAAAATATGGTAAATGCGATCAAGGTATATTTTACCAGAATATGGTAAAATATACCGTGTTTCTGGCTCTAAAACGCTCGGTAGTTTTTACCGAAGCGCATTGGTAATGATTTTGGTAAAAATAACAATTAATATAGGTATTATAGTATGTGTTAAAATTTGGTTAATGTAGTAAAATTTGATAATTTTTACAGCATGACTTAAAAACAATTTATACAGTTAAATTTAATACTCAGATTTGTATTTTTTTTACTAAATATGTGGAAATAAGAACAATATTTGGAAAACCAGAATTTCCAGTAAACCGTTACCGTATGATTACCTAAAAATTAACAAATGAATGGATTAAATACCGTATGTTTTGGTTTCACAAACCAGAATTATGTTGTTTTTTTTTAAATTAGAAATGTCATTACCATATAGCACTCAGGTTGCCGATACTTTTTACCGTTAGATCCATTTTTTATCAGAACATGTTACAGAACAAAAAATCTTATATACTTAATTTTTACAGTAATAATTACCGTAAAATCGCACTAACTAAATATTACTGTGAAAATTACGGTATAATATTTCACGGTAAAATGGATTTTACAGATGATGCACCCAAAGTGTTGGTACTTTGTACCATACATTCTTCAAAATTTTTATAGATTGCATTGTCTCGTAGAAAAAAACTTAGAAAATATGCTTCTTTTTCCAACTGATAGATTGATCTAAATTATCAAAAGAATTATAGATGTACACTGAAAGAATGTATTCAACAGCAAAATTTTCCAGATAAATTCAATGAACCCTATATGCGTGTATTATTTAAGAGTTATAGAGGCTAATACTTTTCTATGATTAATATACGACCCCCGAAGTTCTTCATCTAAAGCTCTACGTTATCTCTACGCAGGAGGTCACAGTATATCACATCTCAATCAACTGGAGCACCCAGAAGGAAGGAAGAGACCTTTCCATCAAGAGGTTTAGATGTGCGCGTCCACTGTTCCCATACCACTATAAATCGCTTTTTTTACTACCTATTCAAGAGGAATTTCGTTTACAAAAGCCGTGAGAGTAAACACTACATTGAATGAGGCTATAAATGTGACACTTTGATAGTTTATCCTTTATTATAAACAGAAATTGGATATCTGAGAAAGAAATTATTTTTCGTCATTTTATGGCTTTGTCAAGAAAATTAGGATCATTTATGGCTCTCATATTGCTTATTTTAGTTGTCGATTTTGATTGCCCTTGTCAGAAAGCTTTTTGGCCTTTGGAAGTTGTTTTTAAAACTTATTTGGAAAAATAATACCACCGTTTAGTTTTCACCATGGAATGCTAAGTGTTGCTCAGTGGATGTTAAGGGCCATAATTTTGAATTTTACTGTTCAATATGATAGACAAGGGGTATCGTTAACGCTGTTACTTTTTGTTCTGGCACTGAAATACATTATTCGCCAACAGGATTTGTGAGGTTCTATTATCACAAATACCATTCAGTTTTTTTGCTTTTCGCTGGTGGTGTCGTCATTTTGAGTAGAAGCAGAATTGCTTTAATTTCCTTTACTAGTCATCTTATAAAAGCAACAAATGAAGTAGGCATCGTTATTAATGAACAAAAAATAAAATTTATTGCACGAACAAATGAAAAAAATCCATAATAAGGAAAAAATATGTAGCTTCCTTTGTTTATAGATATTGTTTATAGATATTTTTTATAAGACTTACTTCTTTGTACTTTGACAGAAAGAGGACTCTTATGAAATCGCGTTAATAAATTTCAAAGAAATGTTTTAGTTTGATAGTTTGCTTTCCCGATTAGTGTGACAAAAGCTTTTTTCGAATAAACACATAAATAAATAAAACAATAGGCATTTTATGAAGTCATAAATAGCTTAATAAAAACAATAATATTTGTCAGGAAAAGCCTTTTATAGTTATCAATAAAATTTAATAGAAAATACAATTGAAAGGTTATTATTATATTAATATAGTATTTTTTTAGAGATTAAAGAACTTTAGTTTAATAAAATGTTCCTGCTTTATCTATTGATTTCATATTTGTATTATTTTAATTGGATTATTAAACACCTAAATCATGGTTAATGTTTGTAAAAGGGTCATAATCAGAATTATTGAAGGGTCGCAATCAGAATTATTGAAGGCTCATAATCATAAAAGAAAGAATAATAAGTTTATCCGTAATGAATTAAAGAAAATAATTTTAAAAAAATTAATATAATAGTTTTTTTACACAAAATTTGCTGAACTGAACAATAAATTTTTCATTTTTAGAGGTATATGGCAGTCAAAATCCAAGTCAGCATTTTTCCTGACAGACTTATAAAAATCTCACTTTTCGTTTTGTTTTTTATATTCGTTGAATAATGATAACGTTTGTTACTTTTTCAGGAAATTTTGAAAAGATACGGTTACCTGAGGTGTGGTTTTTCCAAAAGAAAAGGTTCTGGTTCTAAGCCTAGAGAAAGAAAATCTGGTCGAAAATGTTCCAACGAAGAAATTCGCCAAGCTATTCGAAGATATCAGAATGCATACAACATACCCGTTACTGGAAAACTGGATCAATCAACTCTTCGCCTTATGAGCGAATCAAGATGTGGAAACCCAGATGACGAGAATAAAGCCTCTCGCTACAAACCCATGATTCATTTGAAGAAGAGGCGTAGGTGAAACGGCATTAATTTATTTTATTCTATTGGTACATGTTTTAGACACCTAAGGATTAGATTCGATAATTCGAATCGGTTATTCGAATCATGTGTTTCGAATTCATAGAATTAATCGGGGATATTTTCGTGTCATGATCTGTCGCAAACTACAATAGCCAAGGTGCTAAATAAATTTTAAGCATGCAAATTTTTTTAAACAAACATGTGGATCTTTGCCCGGGGGTGGCTACGAGTCAAACCTCTCGAGGTTGTCCCTTTCTGCAGGGGTCTGTTTAGAAGAAATTTGGGTCCGTTCTTTACAAAATATCTTTTCACAAAAGCGGATCCTTCACAAAATATTTTAGCTAAAAACGGACCCTTCGCAAAATAATTTATCTTTTAATCGGACCTTTCACAAATTTGTTTATCTTCATTATTGTTTTGTTAATCGAATAAACCCTTCCCAGGAAGGGGAGGGGGAAGAAAGACAGATGTAAACGAACTAAGTTTTGTCTTCAGCAGACGCTTCTTTCTTTATTCGTCCGAAATGAATACTCTGTGTTCAGCAGTATAGGCTTATTACCGAATATTTGTATGTTGCATCTCGAATTTAGTAGCTTATGTCTTTACAATTTAAAAACTCCTTGAAAAAGTTTTTTGCAATAACAGGACTCTATTTGCACAAATTCACAAAAGACGGACCCTGGTTGAAAGAATGTGACCTAACGTTTATTTTATATTCACAAATTACGAGTAATTTTTTCACAATTTTGCAAAAAACGGACCTTTTACAAAATGTCTGGACAGACCCCTGCTTTCTGTAATGTTGTTACTTTTTTTTTTCTTCCTTTTTTTTTCTCGTGGGCCGCTGCCCGAATGTTGCCAAGACATGGCGATTATTCTGTCACGGATCACGATACGGAAATCTCCCCAATTAATCAACAATATAAATTCAGCAGATCAAATTCTTCATATAATCTTTTATTTATTTATTTTACATATTTGTATTGGAAGAGTTTTAATTGTTTATTTGATTTTGCAACTAATTAATTTCTCTTCATTTTCAAATCACTCGTTTTGATTCATTTCCTTTGATTTGAATTAACCAATGATGTGACTTAGTTTAATCAGATCAACAGAAAACAGTATCGGGTCAGGTGTGAATCTAAACTAGATTCAAATAAAGTTTGTTGAATCAGATCATTTCCTACTTTAGTGGGAAATAATTATGAACCTCCATCAAAAAGCTGAAGAAATCTCACGAACGCAAAAAGAATTCGTAAAAATTTTGTGCTTCGTTATGTGAAATTAAATTCTTTTAAAATGATGTAAAAAATTTTAAGCCTTACAATTCAAACTTTTTTGACTATTATTAAATAAAATAATAAAAAATAATAAATAATAACTAAAAGTTATTTTTTGCGTTGAATTATCTCTCGTGAAACGGATTTTATAATAGTGTCCAAAAATTTTTCTCTCTGCTCAAAAAGTTAAAATACGCAAAAAAGTAAAATTAACGTAATAATTAGGAGCCCAAACTTAGGATCGTTCTTCTGACCAAACTATTGAGACCATATTTTGTTTGGATTGAATCTGAATCCGAAAAAAAAATTTGTTTATTCAGAGAAATTACATTTTTGAATCAGATTTCGTAACTTAAAATATCATCTGCACTAAGTAATTAGCATATTTGAGGTAACCCCTGAAAACACTAAGATTGAGTCCTACACTTATGAAAATTTCGGATAAAAAATATAAAAAAATTAGCGGCACTTATGGTACTGGTATATTTTACCATAAAATTAATTTTTAGCAGAACATGTTATGGAGCGAAAAATCTGATATGCTGTAATTTTTACAGCAATAATTATCGTAATATCACTGAATTACTCCAATTAAATATATATTACTGTAAAAATTATGGTATAATATTTGAAAGTAAAAATTAATTTCACAATAAGAATGGATTATATGGTAAAATGGATTTGCGGATAATGTCCCCAATGTACCGGTACTTTATTCCGTAATTTGATTCTGATTTTTTAACTTTACGTGCAGAACGTTATTCAAGGTGGTCTTTTTTTTTAGCGCACTATAGAATACAGAAGTTAAAATCTAAAATTATAAAATCGTTAAATTATATATTACTATCTGAATTTTTGGATGAATTTTTAATGAGTTACAAGTGTCATATTTATAACTTTCATATTTGAAAATGTGAGAAAAAATTTTCTCCTATGCACTTTTGCATCAGTTATTTAAAATGTATCTTTTTTTAATGATAATAATAAGTGGATATTAAGCATATTGAAACTAAGAAATTATCCACTTGGCTATAAATAAATGATAAATAATTATCCACTTAATTATAAATAAATCATAAATAATTATGCACTTAATGATAATTAAATGATAAATAATTATCCACTTAATGATAAATAATAAGTGGATATTAAGCATATTGGAACAAAGAAATTAACTTTAAGCAATATTTAATCGATGCATCCGAAATTAATTTTTTAAAGAAAAACAGAACTTTTCTTACAGATTGGAAGAAAAGTCATAGTTACCAACAGTTATCAAGGCACCGAAGAGAAATCAGAACAGATGACCGATGGCTGCATAAAATGTCCTTCAACGAAATAATTGAACCTTCGGATGGCATCCAATCAAGCATTTTCGCTTCCAAAACACACAGAGATTTACTAGACCATCCAACTCTTACTGATAAAGTAAATTCTGATCATTTACAAATTCCATCAGTGACAATGGAGCAACACATAGACAGAATCAATGACAGATCAGAAAATTTTGTTAACTTTCACCAATCTGACCATCAACAAACACCAATATACGATTTAGTTCTGAGAAAAAGGAAACCATCATTTGAGGAACCCTTACCTCCAGGTACTTCAATCACCCGAAGGAAGAGATGGTTGGAACAGTATTTAAAAGATTTGGAAACTGGCGAACTAGATAAAAGACTGGAGGTACAACAGAAGGAATTAAAAAAGTTGAGAAAGAAAAGGTCGTTGGCATCTGGTGTTGAAGGGCAATCCTTTACTAGTGTAAGTCTAAACTTCTATCGAAGTAATTTGTTTAATTTTGATCTCAAATAATTTTGCCTATTCTAAAATATTTTTTTAATTATAAGTCTTCATGCTTAATATGTATGAAGGCCCTTGAAAAATTGAAAATTCCATGCTGAAATTCGATTACTGCACTGATATTTGTTTCTAGGAAGTGGTTACTTGGAGACTGATTGGATCCGCATACAGCAATCAACTGACAGTAAATACACAAAGAGCAGCACTTGCACTTGCTTTTCGAATGTGGGGAGAAGTAATTCCAATAGTTTTTCAAGAAGATATTCGATCACCTGTTGATGACGTCGATGTTCTTATTGCATTTGGAAGAGGTCAGTAGATTATACTTATTTTCAATTTATACTCGAAGCCTAATACGAAATTTCTTATAAAACAGTGGTTACCAACTGGCGTCCCGCGAGCCACATCTGACCCGGGAAGCCTTTTTTTGTGGCCCGCGAACTAAAATATATTAGTTGTCATTTTTTTGCTGGAAATTTTCGTAAAAAATCTATATAGGTTTAAAATACTTTTCTTTCGTTGAAAAAGAAACCTAATTTCTTCGTTTCTGTGAAATTTAACATACCAACGGTGCAAAAATATTTATTTCTCAGGTAAAAATCTACTTCTTATTTTAATTTGAAATTCAATACTTTTGTTTTGTACAACTTGATAAAATTCTCACAGTAATATTTAATGTTCCTTTAAACATAAAACAGTCCTATATGAAATTTTTATAAAGTTGCGGCCTGCCATATGACTGGCGTTTTTAATTGCGGCCCCCGGCCTCGTGTAAGTTGAAAACCCCTGTTATAGAAAAATGAGACAGTGGGATTAGAAGGCTTTTTTGAGACAAAAGAGATCAAATTTCATTCATTTACCTCTAATCTAAGTAAACAGATCGACGTGGTTCATTCTATATGCAATATCTTATAGTTAATGAGGTGTAGATGTAATTCATTCTATACGCAATATCTAATAGTTCATGAGTGCAGATGCAATTCATTCTATACACAATGTCTAATGATTAATGAGGTATAGATGTAATTTATTCTATATCTAATTGCTCAATAGGTATAGGTGTAATTCATTCTATACGCAATATCTAATGATTAATGCGGTATAGATGTTATTCATTCTATACGCAATATCTAATAGTTAATGGGGTATAGATGTTATTCATTCTATACGCAATATCCAATGGTTAATGGGGTGTATTTTTTACATTGCCTATCAAAAGAATGAAAATAGGGGAATTATACTCTTTAAAAAATTGGTTTAGTATTGAATCATAATAATGCTTCGAATTTTTGCAACTTTAACGAGTTGTTCAAATTGAACCCTGATATCTTAAGGTCAAATTTAAAGAGGTTCAAAATCCTTAACAATTATTCTTAGCAATAATCCTTGGTTATGCCTTATGATTCAAAGCTACTTTTTGATGCTGAATTACTTAGTTATTTCCAACAATTTATTCAGTGTATTAAATGAAAATTTAATTTAAACTTATTTTTAAAAAATAGTTATTATCTTTGGTGTCCATTACAGGAGTTAAAACGTTTAAACAAATAGAATTAACGAAAAGTATTGACGCTTAAGTGTCCATTACTGAATAAAAAACGTTTAATAAAATAAAATGATTCATGAAACTTATTGACTCTGTAATAAAATTGCTTCGATTGATGTTTCGTTGGATTTAAATAAATTACTACTCACTAAAAATATTTTATTTACATTTTTTTTAATTATTTAAATAAAAAGTTGCAGTGCAAATATATTTATCTGTTATTAAAAAAATTTATTTTATAAAAATTGTCAACCAAGATTCTAAATATTTATTCTCCTCTAAAAGAAAAATTCATACTTTTGTAATTTCAGTTTCTTTGTTTGTTTCTCCTAGATTAACCACATTTCTTAATAATTTCTTAATTTTTTTTTTGCGATGGCTATTCATTAGGTGATTGACTGTCAATCTCTAGGTTAGAATTCCATTTTCTCTTTTGTTTTTCTTAGCCTATCACATTTTTTAACTATTTTTAGTTAGTATACGATTGCTGGTCATTATGTGATTGACTGTCAATCTCTAGGTTAGAATTCCCTTTTATCGTTCGTTTCCCTTAGCCTTTCGCATTTTTTAAAAACTATTTTAAGTTTGCATACTATTGCTGGTCACTAGGTGATTGACTATCCTCTAGGCTAGAATTCCATTCCATGGCATAAAAAGTGATCTTATTTAAATATGGCGTTACGTTTAAAAATTACTTTTTTGTGTCATTAATATTTTCTCCTGTTTATTTGAAAATAATTATCTAATTCTTTTCTATATTTTACAGTTTTTTTTAATGGAAAATACTATTATTATTTTGTTTATTTTATGATTTTTAACTCAATTGAATTGTTGTTTTTTTTTCAATTAAATTGTATAATTTTATAATTTTTCAATTAAATTGTATAATTTTATTTTCAATTAAATTGTATAATTTTTAAAAATAATAATAACTTAAAGAATTTTGTAACACTTCAATTTCAGTTATTTTCAAAAGGCAATAAATGAATTCAATATATATCAAACGGAAATCTTTCCCATTGAAAATTACACCCTTCCTTACCAACTAATGAAATCAAAGTAATGAAACCTAAAACTATTTTAAATTCTAAACCAAGGAAAGAAAAATAATTGATGAATGTAAGAAAAAATAGCATTTCTCATCCGAATTATTAATTGCTAATAAATTCTAATTCTCTTACACAAATATTAATTACTTCTAAATTCCAATTTCTCTAATATAAATATTAACTACTTAAAAATTCTAATGCTCTAATATAAATGTTAGTTTCTAATAAATTCTAAAGCAAAGAAAGAAAAATAATTCATGAAAATAGAAAAAGCATTATTTCTTATCTCAATTATTGAATGGTTATAAATTCTATTTCTCATATATAAATATTAATTATTCATAAATTCTAAATTAAAAAAAAAGAAATATAATTAATAAGTATAAGAAAAAATGTTATTTCCTATCCACGCTCAAAAACTCCGAATTATCTTCAGCACTTATTAACGTTTCAGTTCAGCAATAACTATGTTACTTCGTGGGCTGCTCCCAATTATCTTTTAAAGACTTTTCTTCCTGTTTCGTAACTTTTAACATTCTTTTTCCATTTTCTGACTCAGAACCAATAATCAGCTAGCGAGAAAGAGTCTTCAACGTGTTCTGTTTACGTTAAAATTCAATGGCACTGCAGAACTCGTTGCTTAAAAAAACGTAAAAGTGCCATCACTTGAAGATGGCTAAGAATTTGAGTGGGCGCCAACTCACCCCTGCACTTCCAGGATTTAGTGAGCTCTAAGCAGAAGAGGTAGATCTGAAGAAGGAAACCTCATATCTGGCTAACATTTAGAGAATATAACTCTAAAGCAGTTATCTTAAAAACAGTATCAAACGATTTAAAAAAATGATTGAAATGTTGAGAAAAAAATTATAATGCAGACAAGTGTTATTTTGTTGTTATAAAAAAAAATATTATAGTAGTAAAATGCATTTTAAGAACGAAATTTCAATTTAAGCAACTTTAACACTTTTCATAAGGGAGTTGTGAGATTATTTCATTTCAAAAAAGTTAAAAAATAAGTCATAATTATCGCTTTACTATGACAAATACTGAAGAAATCCGAATCTGGTATCAAACGAATTTTACTAGCCTCAAATTTTTCGTGATTTTAGTAAAAACGACGTGATTAAAATAAACTTATTTGTTTTTGTTTAATCATATTTTAATTTTTTTCGATTTGTTTAATAAATTTGATCTTTGTTATTGAGAAAAATTCCGCTTTTAACTTCAACAAATTTCAGTCAATTTACAAGATTCTTAAATAGCACCCACAATTTAATTAGTCGAAAATTTAAAATGTTCAATTCTTGAAATATTTCGTTATATTCGAAATATTTCGTTTTGTTGGTATTCCTCCAATTATTTTCATGCAGCATAAAAATGCATTCTTTCGAGGGAGGGTACAAAGTTTTACGAATAATTCACAAAGTTATTGACTCACTTTTTTCTCGTTTTCAGGTCAATTATTATAGATTAAAGCTAACTTTAACTGGTTATTTAAATTAGAAATCTTCTGCTTATTGTTTTATATTTAATTCAATTGAGAAAAATTGGAAATTCTAAAAAAAATTTTAATGCAGTACTGGAAATGAAAAAAAAATTGTAAATTGACCTTTTTTAGGAGAAAAAATAGCAATTTTCCATATTTTAAATGTTTTTAGAACAATAATTTACTAATAGATTAAGAAACAATCAAAAATAAAACATAAATAAGAATTCTAAATGCAATCTAAAGATTTTTGGTGGGGGTTTAATGTTTAGGTGTAAAAAGGACATCGAATTCCTTGGTATGTAAAAGTATACATCACGACTAACCTACACTTAAAGTGAATATTGGGAAGCTTAAAATTGACCCTTGAATTCCAATTGAAAATATTGAGAAAGAAAAAATAAATTTTATTGAATTCATCTGCAAACTTAGCATTTGTCTAAGAGAGTTGGCCATCAGACTTCACAAAAAGATAAAGAAAAGTTTAAAATGAAATTAAGTAATTTTACTTTGTGCAGTAGTTTTTTTTTTTTTTTTTTTAATCAATACGTATTAATTCTATTTAAAATTAAGTATGTTTCTCTGAGGCTTGGTCGTAATATTAAACAATGATTTTTTACGAATAATATGTTATTTTTATAACTGCTGTTAGTTTGCCACTGTCACTCATGACTGTTAGTCAAGTTTGGCGTATCTAAAGCCAGCGCTGCCTACGCTTATTTTGAAAATGGTGCAAGACGTCAAAACGGAAAAAAGTCACAGTTTTGTGAAAACGAAGAGCATTTGAGGTCTAATTTTTCAATATCTAAAAACTTATTCCAATGCTGCATTATTAGGGCTCATAAAAATTTGCAAATACTAAGAATAAAGCAGTGATTTCGATAATTTTCATCCAGGTGGAAAAATGTAACTAAAATGGCGACTTTTAAAAAATTTTTAATAATTTTTGAAATATTTTAGTTATTTGTCTGTTCTGAAGCCCAGATAATTCTTCATGGCAAGATTATATTCATAAAGTTTAAAATCATCGCATTGCTTCAAGTGTAAAGTACTTAAACTATGACTTTATTTTCCTTGGCGACACAGTTTCGAAAAACAGCGTTAAGAAAAAAATATACGAAGTTGATGATTTAAGTAATTGAGACGCGTGTTGACATGAATTTCATGTTGAGTCGTAATGGACGTAAAACAAATCTCCTGCTTAGAATTTTAATGATTTCTGAAATCAAAAAGTTCTTTGTAATTTATTCATGTAGAAGCCCATGCTTCCTGGCCAAAATTCTTAAGGATTCTTTTTTTATTTTATTTTTTTTAAAATTGCTAAACACAACGATATTCATGGATAGTAGTGCATCAATAGACATAATTGCCATCATCAGAAAATGGTTTAAGGTCCGATAAATATTTGAAATGCACAAATCAAACTCATAATTTAATACATAGACTAAGTAAAATATTTTGGGCATTTTAGTTCATCAAGTATTTTAGCAAAATGAATAATTGTGCATCAATTTGCGTCTTTGTATTTGTATTGGAGTTAGAAAGTAAACTTTCATAGTTTTTGGAAATAAAATTATTTCAAAATTGTCTGCGCCGAGGTTGCAATTTTGGCAGAAACTTGCAACTTTGAAACTTTTTTAAAAGAATATATTTAATTATAACTTCTATTATTTTAAAAAAAAATCCCTTCTCCAAAAAGTAATTAAGGCGACATCGCGAAATTTAAAAAAAAAAAAAAATTTTCAAAGAAGCCCTAACTTCTTTTTTTTTTTTTAAATATATACTTTTTTCAATACTTTTCATGATACAAATAACGTCAATGAAAAGTATTTACAAAGGCGACAGTGTAAAATTTTTAATATATTTTATTCATAAAAGCCCTAGTTTTTTTTTTTTTTTTTTTTTTTTTTTTTTTTTTTTTTTTTTTTTTTTTTTTTNTTTTTTTTTTTTTTTTTTTTTTTTTTTTTTTTAAATACTTATCATTATACTTTTCACGATTTTAAAAACAATCTCTTCCACGAAAAGTATTTACAAAGGTGACACCACCGTGAAATTTTTCATAATTTTTTATTTCATAAAAAAAACCCCGAATTTCATTTAAATATTTTTTATTATAACTTTCATGATTTGAAAAAAAAAAAATCTCTTCCACGAAAAGTATTTACGAAGGAGACATCGTGAATGACTACGATAAGAGTAAATATTTTCGTCTTAAGTGTTCTACGTACGGAGACAAAAAAAAATGGAATCAATCTTCAGCAAACTGGTACTAGAAGAGCTTTAAGTGGTTGACAGTTTTAGGTTACTTTAGGGTAACTCTGCCAGACGGCGCTTCCTTTGTTGTCCTATTGTTGCCACGCGTGTGATTGAGGCGGAAATCTTTGAATAAACAAATCCCAAAAATTCTCGATAACTTGGGTAAACATGCATTTCTTTTTCTAAATTCTTGAGGATTATTGAAAGTGACACTAATTTCTTTTCAGCTTTCTTTCTTCATTGTTCGGAAGTAATAAAGAAACTTTCAATCTTCAAATATTGCAGTTTATTTAATTTGGTTCAACGCTTTTTATAATTTCTTTCATTATAGTATTATTTTCATTCAGAAATAAACTGTTTCTTAATTTATCTAAATGTTAGCCAAATTGGATTAAAAATATTTTTTTTTTATTTACATTTCGATTAATGGTAACAAGTTTTTGAAAATAACTTTACTACTGAACTTCTTCATATTGTTTCCATTAGTGTTATTTTGTACACTATTTATAATATATCTATATTTCATACCTCCATTTAAGGCTAAAAAATGCTTGATCCTATTACTAGTTGTCCCCAAAATGACCAAATGACCTACGATTTAAAAAATCTATTACAAATCAAGAATCATATAATGAACTGCGTTTGTCTCAGGAAACCAGGGATATACTCTCCCAAAGTTTCAAAATTAGTAGCAAAGTTCATCAACAGATGGTGCTCTTAACTATGAAACAATGTGTTTTTTCTGCATGTTAGGATCTCAGCTGAAGTATTTGCACTTTCGTCTCTGTTAGCTCCAGCCTTATACTTAGCCTTGTTGCAAATGGTAGTTATTTTTTAATTTTTCGAAGTGAGCAGCGTAATTTGTAACTAACTTTAGATGTAAAGGAGAATTGATTATCCAGTTCCCTCAAACGATGGCATCAAATCTAACACTTCGAAATTTTAAAATTTTTATTAAGTGATATTTCGAGTCGCCGGTCATTCCTACGGCGAACATTAAAAACACAAATGATTTAATACATATTAATATTTTCAAACTTCATTTTTATTACGCACCTGTATTTAATCTTTTATTCTTTATTTGGCAGGTGAACATCTGAACTGCCCAAATCACTTTGATGGATTTGGTGGACAGCTATCTCACGCTATTAAAATGGCCGCAAATGCTGAAATCCATGTCGACGACGACGAATTCTTAACAGTAGGATCAGATCAGGGAACTAATTTAGTCAAAGTAGCTGTGCATGAAGTAGGACATGCCCTAGGTTTATTTCACACATCCAGAAATTACTCCATTATGTATGCAATCTATTCTCAAGTTATACCTAATAATAATTTTGAACTTGGTTGGGAAGATAGAAAACTAGTACAAGATATTTATGGTGCGTATACATTTTGAGTTACATTCTACTAATACTACTTCCCTATTAATACCAATAAAAAAGGCACCCTAGGATCTTATGGACAATCATATTGATTTTATATTTACTCTCATACATTCTTGCTTATAATAATTATGTACAAAAAAATTAATTTGTATTTAATTCTATATTTTACAAAAACTTATATTTTAATGAAAATATTTTATACACTTAGAAAAGAAGTATGGTCAAAAGTATCAGAAAATGAAAAAAATTTACCGTGTTTCTTGTTCTATGGGAACACCAAAAAGTTGGGTAATTTTTAGAGAAGCGCTTTGGTAATGATTTTGGCTGTAATTATGCCAATTATCTTTTCTCAGAGTTAAAGATCAAGAATTCTTACCTATTTAGAAATAAAATATTTTCGGTGCACTTGATTTAGTGTATTTGAATAATGATCTGGTTACCTATGTTATTAAATCAAGATGGTAAATATAACCAATCCAAAATACACAAAATTATTTTCTCTCTGTTCCATTCATTTGCAGGGTGTGGCGAAAAAGATCCGGACAGACTGTTTTTGAAGTAATATTAAAACAATTTTTAGTATAATTTTATTAAAAATAAATTACAACCACAAAATATTACCAATAATAGTAATAGTAGTAGGTGTACGCCAATAAATAAATATAATTGGTCACCTTTAGCAGAGACGCAAACGCTTATTCAAATTTTTAACAATGCGCCGAAGCTACAAAGAGTTTTGTACAGTGGGCAAAAAATAAATAAACAGATCGCCTTAAATAACTTGATTTAATGATCGGATCTTCCCAATCTAGGACTCAATCTTAATGGTTTGAGGGGATAACCTCAAATACGCTAATTAGTTAGCTAGTGATGGTACGCTAATTAGGTAATTAGTATTTCTGAAAATTTATGATAAAGATCTACGTGATTTCTAATTTTCTAATGATTTGAAAATTATTTCTTTAATGATTGATTAATTAGAAAAAAAATTAAGAAGCCTTTTTGTTTGCAAATGAACTTAACTGAAGAGAAACTAACAAAACTAACTAAAGAGTGAGAAACGGAGCAGGAAAAAGCTATGCATGAAAAAATGCATCTAATAATCGTTGTTTAATTTTCTCAAATGATTTTATAATTGTTAATTTTTCTCTGCCTGCCAGGATCTTTCGAAACATGTAAAATTCAAGGCCGTTGGAAGTTGGAATCGGAGAAATATAGCACGGAAAGATTTCAAAATTTCAAGGATGATTCCACATATGACGCACGAAATTAACTGGCGTATTTGTCAAAAAAATATTTTGTAAACATGCTTCTACATTTGTAATTCCAAACGTGAATTCATAAAAATAATTTTGTTTATATTCATTAAATACCCTGTGTAAAATTATAATTTATGCTTAGCCATTTTACGTCAAATCACCCCCAACGAATTTTTCTGACAAATTATACTAATAAAATTCTGCAATTAAATAGAATATTACACATTATACCAATACCATTCTGCAATTGAACAGTTTGCTATTAAGATAGTTCAGTGTTATACCTTCGCCAATTTTTAATTTTAAATATTTTTTTTAAATCAGTTTTATCTAATCCGAGTTTCGTGTGTTTAAAAGGCAAATTTTTAAAAATCTAAACACAGGCATAAATACAGCATTTAATTATCTCTATTATCTTAAAGTAACCTCATAATATTATTGCTTTAATTTTTTTGATAAAACCCACACAAATTGTTACATTTTTAAAGTATTATTTTTCTAATCTAATAAAGCAAAAGTCTTTATTTCTTACAATATTATAATATTTTTTTTTGGAAAAAACATAATGCTGTCGATTCTCTGTCCTGAAAATGTGCTAAGAAGGGGGAAACTTTATGAGTACATCGTTTTTACATAAATTTATTACAAATATTGTGATAGCAAGGAAAAAAAATCTGAATGTTTTTGAAACTAAGAGCATAAATTATTAACATTTTTCGGAATGACCTATATTTTAACTTTGTAAAACACATTCATCTTCTAAGTGTATTTACTACGTTTAATGCTTTTAAATATCAGGTGTATTCAAAATTATTTTATACAGCATAAAATTAAAAATTTCATTACACACTAAAAAATATCTTGTTTAAATTATTATCAAAAATCTTAGAGTACGCTAAAATTACGGTATAAAGTGCCTGAGTGCAGCATCAGTAAAATTCATATAAAGTTTATACTATAATTTTTATAGCTATATTTATTTAATTACATTGATTCAGTAATTTTACAGTAAATATTACTGTAAAAATTAATGTAAAAATTACGGTATATCAGAATTTTTGTTTCGTGAAATTTTACGGTAGAAAGTACCGGCACTCAGGGTGTCAATTTTTTACAGTAATTTGATTCGCAATTCCTTACAGTGTTGATGAGAAATTGTGTATTTTGTTGTTAAATTTTCAGAAGTGACCAAAAAAAAATAGTTTTCAGAATTCTATAAAATAATATATCGATTTTAAAAAGCCAGCATGCATTTGATATAAAATATCGCTTAAAAGATTTTTAAAAAATGTTTGTAAGTTCGTTGCATAAACACGTTATCTTTCTGCAGTAACTACATGACAAATGTATAAAAAATTGTCTCAAAGATTTAATTAGAGTTGTTTAATTATTCAAAATTCTTTGTAAAGTATTTTACACTTTAAAGTATCGTTCATCCTCATTTTTAGTAACATTTTCTTTAAATCGTTCATTAATTACTTGTGACAGATTGTAAGATGATATCTAAACTGTTATTTTTTCATAGAATTTCAAAATTAACCCAATAATATTTTTTCCTCCAGCACTGTAAAAAATTCCGGATTAAATTACTGTATAAAGTGGAAGCATTATCCCTGAAATTATCCCTAAAATCCATAACCTATATCCTAATACCCCTGGAATTATTAATAAAATCCCATTTTAGAAGCATTATCCCTAAAATCCATTTTTCTATAAAATCCATTTTTACCATGATTTTTTCTGTAATATTTATTTATTTCTAATGATTGAATGGTTTTACGATCAATGGTTACTGTAAAAATTGCGGTTCATCAGATTTTTTTTTATTCCGCAACATGTTTCCAACAAAATGGATTTTACGGTAAAATGTCCCTACTCCTTGAATGCCAGCATTTTTTACCGTATTATTTTACATTGTGGTGCAATATCTAAACAGAATTTTTTTTATTACATGGCATAACTTTTTTTTTAGAGGGATTGAATTATTTTACGGCAATTATTACTGTAAAAATTACGGTACATTAGATTTTTGTTCCATAACATGTTCCGGTAAAAATGGATGTTACGATTAAAAGCACTGTAATAGATTTTACGGTAAATGGTACTTCTTACCGTAATTTTTTACAGTATGGCATAATATTTATGTAGTTATTTTTTTATATCTTAGTATAGTTTCAATAAAGATTTTTTTTATTACTTGGCAAACTTTAAAAAAATCAATGAATAACAATATCAAGAAAATAATTATTACCATCTTCTTCTTTATTTAGGTATTTGTAAAGTTCGCTTCAATACGGTTTTCGATTGGGTCAGACGAAGGCCAGATGGACAACTGATCTACAATACATATTTTTTCCGTGAAAACCGTTATTGGATGTATGAAAACAGATACAATAGGACGAGGTACGGTGATCCACTGAACATTTTACCCGAATGGAAGGGTATTCCGGATAATATTGACGGTTATGCCCATGTTTGGACATATACAGAAGATTCGGCTTATTTTTTTAAAGGTAACTTGTTTTTAAAAATGTTTGCCAAATCTTTAAAAACTTATCTGTATTTATTAGAGCTTAAAATGTGAAGTAATTAAGTTCAAACTTTATCACATTACACTGTTAGAATTTTCATTCTAAAATTAAGGTAAAATAACCGGCATCAGTCCGGTCATTCAATTAATCGTAAAGTTGGCGGTAAAGAAAATTTTTTACTTTTACGGTTTTGAAACTGTTTGCAACTAAGATTCCATAAACCATAAATACAAAACTATACTGTTTTTTCAGTCATTTGCAACTAGCATGTTTTCAAAACTATGAAGGAAAAAAAATTTTTTACTGGATATTTGACTGGGCTTTTTGTTAGGTAATGGGCATTGGAGTTCAGTTGTATTTGAGTTGTGTTTTATCAAATGAACCGTAGAATGTGGTTTAGTTAATTGATCTGATTGTTTCCCCTACTGTAAAAAAAGGGAAATGTAGGGAACCGATTATCCAGAACGATCGGGACCATCGCTATTCCGGATAACAGATTTTTTCGGTTTTCTGAATCGCTACAAAAAGCCGTTTTTTTTATTGTTGAACCCAACTAAAAAAAAGAAATATTTGGAAATAATCTTAAAAAGAAAAAAAAACTATGAAGCAATACACTAATGATTATTTCCAAAATGATGGTAAGGTAAACATCTTTTAAGAAAGAAAGAAAAATCCTAGAATCTTATGAGGAAAAAAACATTTTTTTTTTTTTAAATGACTGGAAAATTTATCGAATTTCATTCCGGTTTTTTGGTTTTCCGGTTTTCTGATTCCTGGATAACGGGTTCTGTACTACTAGACTTTTTTTGTGTGTTAAGCAGCTTTATGGTGCTACCATCTATGCGTGAATGAGAGTATCCTATTCTAAGAGTCCTAAGTCAGAATTTGGGTGTGCAACACACTGGATACTCTACATGTGTTGATGGGAATAGATATATTGTGGTGCCTACGATCGACATTCAACACCTACTTCTGGTGGTCATGAGATTGACAAATCAGCCCTTTCGGCTATAAAGTGTTCCCCAGCTGCAAGAAACTAAGTGACTTCCATGGGTGGGCCTAACTGGTATGATAAAATTATGGTGGTTTAACCGTATTTGGTGAAAGCAGTTATTAAACAGTTTTTCTAACAATTAGCAGCTTGAATACCAGCTCATTTATGGTTATTCGTCTGCTTTGTTTGAACATGGTAAAAAAAACAATGAAATAATTTGTTATTTAATTATTTTTTCCAAGAAATTTCTAACAGTGTACTATGCACATCAATTATCTTATAATGTTGTGAAAATTGTGGGGAAAAAATCGAATATAAATCAAGACTTTTTTTATATCAATCATTATTAGATATCATGAACAGGAGGACCCTTTAATGCCGGTTTGAAGTATTTTTCTATGGATTGGGACCACTTGTTGAGATGATAACTGTTATTTCATGTTTATTTTAACATTCTGCATGATCTTGTCTTTAGCCAACATCTTCATAATGGGTATTCTATTGATAACTCTTTTACTCAAGATGACAAAGGCAAAGTTGAACGACCTTGAAAAATATGTGGACGCTCACACCCTTTAGCTCGATTGGCCTGCAAAATCCCCGGATTTGAAGTCCATAAAAATTATTAAGGACGCTTTGGAACAACGGAGAAAACACCGAATTCGAAACTCAAATTCGGTGGATTTGAGCGATCAAATCCTCTGAGAGGGGCGTAAACCAGATGTGATGTTCTTGTAACACCTTGTAAATTCGGTTTCTTTCAGAATTTAAGTAATTGTCATGCTCGGAAACTGAGTTACATGATATTAAATTATGATTCTTATGCGTTTTTTCGGGGTGACTAATTTTTTGTCCGGTTATCTTATTTTGAATGTTTATTACGAAATATTTCATTGCATTAAAAATGCAGTTGACTAAGGATTTTTTGGTTAAATCGCTTACTGAAATATCTTAAGTATATGTGAAATAATTAATAAAATGTTATTATAGAATGAAATTTTAAAATAACTGCTATTAAAACTACATGAATTTTTTATTTGTCTATTTGCCAAAAAAAAGGAGCCTTATGCAATTTATTTTTTTTTACATCAGCTGACGCAAAGATGTTAAAAATATTGGAAGGAATTTTAAAATTTTCAGTTTTTAACAGGAAAGTGGCCCGTGAAAAATAACAAGGCCAATCAAAATTTAAAGAAATATTACCAATAAAAATTATATAAAGTCTGGATATTAAAATCAAAGAATAAACGTTCTGTTTACGTTCTGAATAATTTTGTTATACCGAATAAACAAGTATTTAATATTATCATAAATATTGTATTCTATTGCAGTCACATTTCTTTTGCAGTTTTATAGACCTTTTTTATAAAACTTTTATAGACTGCATCAAATTAACTCTGATTTATCTACTGAATTTGAGGCGAAGAATATGCCCAAAAAATATTATTTATATGAAAATTTAATTTATATTATCTTTCTACAGATTCAATTGAATAAAAAATATGCGATTATTCTTTTCCGAATTTATACAAATTAAGAAAAAGTTTGTTTTCAAATTCGACAGATGTCGCCACCAGAATTTCTCTTCAGAATGTTTTCTAACAAATTCTTTCACTAAAAACACAATTCTTTCGCATATTTTTTAGTATGAGTAATTTAAAAACTTTTGTCAATAATGAAACAGTATAATTTATATATTAAATATGCAGATTTTTGTGCTTATAAAGTTCAATCCATAGTATTTTGGATAAAATCAATTATTATAAATGCACTTATTTTTCAGTATACATGCATTAGGTATTTAGCTCAATTGCAAAATAAGATTGAATAATAATTTGTTTTAAATAATGTATTGAATAATAAGTTGTTTTTTGAACACGTTTTTCATGTCTATAGAATACAATAAAAAGTAATGTGGATTAATTCAATTATTGTACTGGTTTAACTTATTTTACTGTACTTATTTTACTTGTTTTACTGTACTTGTTTAACTAATATAATACAATATTGCTCACAAGCTGTCGAATATAAATAAATGTGAGATAAATTTTTAAAATATTCATCTCGAGTTTAATTGTGTGGCATTGAGATGACTGTTAACTATTTTATGTGATTTGAAAAATAAATGAATGAAATGAAAGAATAAAAATGTCTTACTTTAATACGGATGGATTCTTTTTAGACAATAATGAGAACACTACATTAAAAGCTTTCCTAATACGTAATTTCAAAGTTCGGCCAAATGAAAGCAGACTGTATTTTTTATAGAACAGATTTGCGTTAAAATATATGCATATATTTTTTATATCATCGATAATTAAGTCTAAATTTCAGAAATTTATCTGTATATCGTGTGATTTGTTTTGTAGGTCATAAATTCTGGATATACAACAGTGCTGAAGACAAAGTAGCGAGTGGTTATCCAAAGAACATATCATCTGAGTTCAGGGCGATTAAGGGGAGTTCATTTCCCAACATACCTGGAAACTTGGACAGCATATTTTTTGATAAAAGAGATGGAAATCTGTATTTCTTTAAAGGTCATACGGTAAGATGCACCATATTTCCTTTCTTTCCTAAATTTATGTTCAATGAAGAAAAAATTTTACACTCAGAATTCTTTTTTCTATTTTTTTAATTAAAAAAACACTTTTTTTATTTTACATTTCAATTCATGTTTAGGATTTTGTTTTATATTATAACCGGCGTTGAACAGCCTACCAACTTCTGAGCTTACGATTATCAATTTTCAACTCCACTACCTTGTAATCTTGAACCTAACCCAGAAGACAAGGGAACTACTGAATCAAGCATTAGAGCAAACTAGCCTACGTGGTGAACTTTCTGCTGGAACTGACCTGAATTTGATTGCAATCACGAAAACATCCCATGTTTAGCCCAACGGCAAAGGGATTTTAATCCATGATCCGTCTGTCACTGAGAATATTTAACGTGAGTACAGTGGCCTGTGAAAGCCAGGAGCAGAATTCGTATCAACCAGCCACCGCTGCGTCGATTCGAAAGTCGGTCACGTTATTGGGATGTGAACTCTCTATCCCCTAAGCCACAGCGACTCAAATTTCAAGGTTTATTTTTAGATTTATTTATTCAAGTTTTAAGACATCTAAGAATATACTACCATATTCAAACCTTCATTTTACCTGAATCTAAAATATTTAATTCGAATTGTTTACACGTTGAACAATCATGACAAGTGGTTGTTCAACAATCCAAAGGAGGATCCTTTTATTCAACAGTTTTGTGTAGTATTTTTAAGAAAAAATAAATATTATGCCTCACTCTAATGATTTAAAGCTTTGTTATCTGAGCTAAAAAAAAAATTATTAATAATTTGTAGATTCTGTTTGGAAAAATCGTTCAAAACGTCTGGATAAGATTATATTGTGCAAGAAATTCCTATACTTAATTAATATTTAATTTCGGTTATAAATATTCATTGATGTTATTTATTATTTTGAACCAAATATCTAATTGATAATAACCAAATATAAAATGATACTTAAACATACGTAGTGGGCGGCCATACCTGTCAATACTTTTACTTGCACTTGTTTAGTTTTTAAATTTACTACTTTTACTGGAATAAAAGCTAATTTTTTTTCCGAAAAATTTTTTTTTATGTATTTTAATGAGAATGTTGTAAGAAAGCATTACTTTTTTACTAAAATATTTTCTCAAGATAGAAAAAAAATAGGTTTTTCTCAGAAAATTTTCATGTTAAATTATTATTTTGTAGTTTCTAAATTTACTGATTTTAACACTTAATAAAATACTATTATAGCTTACTTACATGACTCAATTTATAAACTTCAATGACTTGATTTATAAGCTTTTGCAATTAAATGCTGTCAAATTGAAATGCGTTATTGTTTCTATAAAGTTCTTTATAAGCACAAAAAGAAAAAAGTTTGCTAAATAGAAGAAATACAAATCTTAATAAAAGAATAGCTAAATAGAAGAATTAGATGTGCTAAATAGAAGAAACAAAAGTTCCCTGACTACCGGTTAGCAGTCATAGAATGTTAGCTTCGTGGTAACGTGTAACAATAATATTAGTGTAACGTGGTAACACTAATATTATTGTGATCCTGTAAACTAATTAATCATGTAAAACACCAATAATAATCCTGTAAACTTAAATATAAACTGAACTAAATTCAGTGGAATGGCAGCCTATGGAGGACCAAAACCTACTTTGTCCATGCCAGTTTTCTTGACCTTTAGGTTTGATGATCAACTTTTGACTAACTACGATGTTCACGTTCGCGAATCGAATCTATATGATTTTTAATTCGTGTAGGCAATATTTTAAGCACCCAAATCAGACACCAGAATTTACAATTTCACTTCTTAGGTATTTAACCATTTTTGGAGGACTTAAACGATGCTTCTTTTTCTATTTCATAGGTATATGCTTACGATGTGAACAAAGGAAGAGAAGGCTGTTGCTTACCAGGTTATCCAAAGCATATCCATCAAGAGTTTCCAAGTGTCAACAAAGATTCAGCTTTACCATCTCATCTAGATGCCGTCTATTACTCTTACACGGACAGATCGATGTATTTCTTTAAGGGAACTCATTACTGGCATAACATCGCTTTCAATCCATTGGATAGAAGGAGAACAAACAAAGTAAAAGGTCCGTGGTTGATATCCTCTAAATGGTATGATATATGTGATGTTCAAGTGTAGTTGATCTGAGAGAGTATGGTTTGGGATAATATTTTCCAGTTTATATTTGATGTATATCACTTTAGGATGAAATATAGTTGTTTTCAATGTGATATTTACAAAAATATGATAACTGATTGTAATTTTTGCTTATACCATGCAGTTATACCGGTAGCAGAATTTGCAGGGTGAATCTGCTGAATTATCTTCATGAATCTAAATTTGTTTGCATTGCAAAAAATTCTGGATCAAGTACCAGCTCTTTGGGTGTCGGTACTCTTTATCGCAAAATCTATTCTTATTGTAAAATTTTACGGAACAAAGAATCTGATGTACCGTAATTTTTAAAGTAGTATTTAACATAAAATCTCTGAATCACTGTAATTAAATAAAGATTACTGTAAAAATTATGGTATAAAATTTTGCGGTAAAAAGGAATTTTACGGTAAAATGGATTTTAGGGATCATGCATTCAGGATACCAGTACTTTTTATCGTAAATTGATGAGGAATTTTTCACAGTTTTCGACCTCGACGACAAAGAGTATTTCGTAAAAATTCACCTTAATCTAACATACTTGTAGCAAAATTTGAAAATATAAGGCCCTTATACATAAAATCTTTATTGTTTAAATTAAAGTTTAATTTTATGATATTAAAAAAAATTTATTTAATTCCTATACAGTGAAGCTTGTAATCAAATAACAGAAGAAAAAAAAATTTCTTCTTTCATAGCGGTGTTTTCTCAATTCGGCTCTTTAATTTTTTATTAAGAATAAGTCTTTAAAAGGAGTCTTAGTTATCTTCCAATTTGCTGGTTTGCTTTTAAGAAAGAAAAAGAAAGCTAAGATGAAAAATAATCTGAGAGCCTTCTGCTATGCTAATAGGTTTCTGCTACCGGTGCAGTTATTAGTTTCCATATTTGATATTTTCTAAATGAGCTACAATAGTGCATGATTTTGAAGGAAGGTAAAAGATGTTATTTCTGTTTCTTCATTTCTGTTCTCATAAAGATCTTGCTCATTTATTTATGAATATTTATCAAGTTCCCCAAAGAAGAATATAAGTAATGTTTCAGACAATAATCTTCCTTTAAGTTATTTTCAAGAAATTACATGTTGCAATGACGCTAAAAAGCGAGGCAGTACGGTCAATACTGTCTGCAGAGCTAATGAGTTATAATATCAACGGAAGCACGTAAATAGATTCTTTTTACGAAACTGTAATTAGAATCCATTTTCAGTTGATTTCAATACTAAAAAGAAAAATCAAACCCGGTCACTTTGAGTACGAATACGAGCCTAAATTCAGACTGGCTCTGTGTGATTCTTAAGCATATCAATCCTTCTTGCACAGATTTTATTACGAAAATATTACTTATCAGTCTACTTCAATTGTCTTCAGCGTGTCTTTTGACACCAAAATTCAGCTTATTACAAATGGCTTAATTTCAAGTAAATGCATTGAAGGGATTTTTCGTGAATTTTTGTGTATTCTTAAGTTCGCAGCATTTTTTTATTTTTTTTTTTATTGAAATACAAAACAGGTCAATACCAGACGATAAATGAAGGCAAGAAACAAACTCAGAAGAAATAAAGTACACGATTCAGTTCAGAATTGGAATCTCTAGTTCCATATTAGTAACTGCAGAATTGAATTTAAATGTTATAATAAAAATAAAGAAAACAGGAGGGGAAAAAAGTGGAACTCAAAATGTTAGCCGAAGTGCAAATATAAAATTCACCCTTTTTATTTTATAATGCCTATTTATTTAACCTTTTTATTTTACATAAGATTTACGTTACCAGTATTTTGATTTTTTTTATCCTACGTTTATAAAATGTTTCGATAATATTATAATTTTATGAATTCTAACTTAATATCAAATTAATTATTCTTTAAGTGAAAAAACAGCAGTTATCAACACATATAGGATACATAGATATTATGCATAGATACCTTTTGTATGCTTTCAGAATTAAAATGCTTACTCCATAACGCAATGTGTCAATAAAAACGTTGGTGTTCTGTCTTCAAATCATGAAAGCCTAAAAGAGTTATTTAATTTTAGAATGTAGCTCGGTGACTGTTGTAAACTCAGAAAAAAAGTCCTATTCAATCAAGATTAGAGACAAGAAAACTTATGGATACATGAGCTTCTCAGGGGCTCAAATTTGAGGGAGACGAGATTAAATTAAACTGTCATAATAGTATTCTAACTTTCACATATAAGAAACTTCTATTAATAAATAATAAATTTTTTAGTAATAAATTTCTAAAATGTGTTAAATACTTGCAAAAATTATTGGTTTAAAATATTGATTTGAATTTATAGAGATTTCTAATTATTGGGGGGGATATATAAACTCTTCACGCCCTGAAAAATATTTTAATTATATTTTGGAAATAATAAATGTATTTAAATTATTATTTGTTTAAATAAGACTAATTTGGTTTTAGCTGCTTTTAGCGCTTTTCCATTTTGACTTATTATTTTTTCTTAATTTCCTTTTTTCTTAATTTGCTTAATTAAATTTCATACTTTGATTGTATTTAAATGCTGCTATTTTATTTTTAATTCAGTGGTTCAGGGAAGAAAATCGTGGTTTGTAAATAAATGTTTACAAATCACGTCACTTCTACGTTGATTAATAGTTAAAAATCATTGTTTATGGTTTGTGGAAATACAAAAATAAGAAAAGAATTTTTATAGAAATGTTGAGAATATCCCAGAAATGTGTTTTGTGTCTTTATCGTTAATGTTTTTTTTAATTTAATAAATATTTAGTTAAAAGGTTTTTATGGAATTGCTAAAGCGTTCTTCAATGAATGTCTAGATAGAAGTTTCAAAATAATTCAGTATTAGGAAAAGAAAGACGCAAAAAACATAAAAATTGCAAAACATCTTAAATGCTTTTGAAAAAAATACATTTACTAAATGCGCAGTAATTTTTGATTATTTATAGGTTGAATAAATCTAGCTTTGACAATTCAAATTGAAATATTTCAGTTCAAAGCAATTAATACAGAATGTGAAATTCGAACTGAAAATGTTAATAAACTTTTAAAAGCAATTTAGTAAAGCTTATATAATAGATTTTAATAATTTATTTTTATCAATTTGTTTGTTTTTTTTTGTTTTATTTTAAGCAGTTTATTTTTTTTAATTAAACTACATAATTGTCTAACGATACAGATGCAATAAATGATTAATGTATACTTCAATTTAAAAATATATATATATTAAACATTTTGCTAATATTTTTTCCAAAAAAGAGAAGAAACAAAAAATAAAATTACAAAAATTAAAAAAATAAAAGAAAGAAAGAAAGTAAGAAAAAAAAACAGTGTTGCTGAAATAAAAATTTTGTAGTGCTGCCATCTAAAATGATCTTATAACACTAAAAGAAAACTTGTCTTTGATAAGAGTAATTGGATATATAAAAGTAAAACACTGTGTAAGAGGAGAAAAAAAATTGCTTGTTACTATGCATATTAACCAGTTGTGAGTAGTATAAATAAAAATCTAATGAACAAGTTAGTGATTTACAAAAACCTTTTATTTTATCATTTGAAGTATCTCTTTACGTTTAGTAAATTACTTCAATTATAAAATTCAAAAAAAAGAAAAAATACCTGCTAATTATAACTCATATATCAGTTCTTGTCATTAAAAAAATAAGTAAATTCAAATATGAGCATATAATTGAATACATATTAAAATTAAAACTTTATAAAATTATGCATTTTAATAATAATATGAAGTGATTTGTTGTCGCAAAAAAATAAACTTTATAAATACATAAATTTTTTATCTATTATTTGCGTAGTTGATATTTATTTTTTCTGTTTTATTGGTATTATTGCATGAATATTTAAATTCAACTTTAAAAATAACTTAAATTTGAGCAATAATAACTTAAACTTGAGCAATAGCAAATAATTTAAATTTTAAAATTTAATTTTAGTACAAATTGGTTTTGATTGCTGAATATATATATAGTTGTTAAACTCAAAGAAACATTGCTACTGGCCATTTATTCGCTATTAAAAAAAGGTTTAAAAAGATAATTAAAGAAAGATTGTTTTTTGAAATCAATTTCAGCGTTTTCATGAAAATTTTCTGAACCTTTTACGTAATGAAAGCATATTTTGTAAAACTAAACACATTGAAAAGTTTAAATTTTTGCTGTGATTTATCTGAAGAAAATAAAATCGGAGAGTGCCAATTTATGATACGTATGTTATATCTTATTTATTTAAATGAACGCAGTCCTCAATTTGGACGAAGTTTTCAATGTGATGGTGATGTTCATCTATGTACGTATTTGTAAAATGTGATCTTGTACATTGTTTTTGAAATGTGAAACAATTGTACATTGTTTTTGTTCTGACGATACCTTATTTGGTTGAATATGTTGCATTTTTATTTTTAATATCTGTATGTATTTGTATAGATTATTCATTCTTTGAAAGTGTATATACATTTCTCTATAACTAGAATCGCATTTCTTTTTTTAAATGTTGTGATTGTGTTGCTGCAATAAATTTATTCTCAAATTTAATTGTAATGTTTTATTATGTTTTAAATACTTGTAATATATTTTTGTTTTTTATTCTTGCTTTAATGCTTTATAGAATATTTTAATTTCTAAATGTTTAAAATTCACTTATTATCTGATATGTTTCAGATATTTTAGGCAGTTTATTTTTGCTTCGGCAATAACTGTTGATGCCTTTAATTCATTATCTGTACAAAAATATTTTCCAGTTTATTCCTTCTTTGTTTCATATATGCCAGTGTGTAAAATTAAAATTCTAAACTATGCACCCTGTCTCATTTTTCTTTGGGCTTTAAATACATAAATCGATATTATTTATAAAACAACAAATGCCATATTTTGAAAAAATTTACATACTTTATTTTGAATAATGTTTCCTTTATTAGTTATCCACTTGATTTAATAGAAATTTAATTTTGTAAAATATTTAAACATAATATTTTTAATGCTATTGAAAAATTTCTGTTGAAATTATTGTTTTGTTTTGAATTGTAAATGAATTATTTATGATTTATCTCATATCATTTATTTTTCTTCATAATTTATGTTTATATAAGCATAATATTTTTCGTAGAATCAAAGGAATGATAAAAAAAATAAAAACAAATTTATTTCAAACAAACACATCTGTTCTTAAAGGTAAAATAACTTAGAAAGAACACATTTGAAATAAAAAAAATTGCACATTATTATAATCTAACATTTAATTTTAAACAAATAATTAAATTCTTCACTCTCTGAGTTTTTATTTATAGTAAAAAATGCAGGAAAATAAATAATAAGAAATATTTAAAAGACAACTGATCATTGAAATTTTTTTTAAATGAAGATGGTTGATTATGCCTGCTATCTATATTTATATTTAGTCTATTATTTAAGGTTTTATTTATTAAATTCAGAGAGATAGAGCAGGGGGAAAATCTTCCTTCTACTAGGTAAATTAGCTTGTACTATTTCGTCTTGTTAAAATTATAGACATTTTTTTTAGTTGTGAGTAATAGTAAAGCAAATTTTGAGCACATTTGATTTACAAATTTTACTTAAATTAAACCAATAATTTAGTTTTTTATCAAATTTTATAAAAAGCAAGCATAAATATTTTATTCCCTTCTTAACAATCAATCTAACTATTAATTCAATACAAATCTATAACTCATTAATTCACTGTCGCGATTTAATTGAATATCAAAATCTATTTTTTTTTCTCTTTGTTCCTCAAGCTACTTCATTTTTCTAACCACAAAAATGTTTCAGTTACGGGATTATATTAATTCCCATGGTCGTTCTGGTGACTAAGCTGTAGCCACGTTATTTAATATTGAGAACGGGAGGTAGGCATTCTTTTTAGCTATTCTATCTATCGATAAATCGCCAATTATGGATCGCTTCCAATGCTCTTAAGTTACCATTAAGAACACTTCACCCACTGCGTATTTAAAATTCTTGGCGTTCTGACAGAGGTGTTCCGACCTTTATTAATTTTACTAAACTTTAATCTTGAGTAAAATGCATCTCTTCGTCTGATACCTTTTTTTTATTTATTTAATTTTATCTGGCCAATATTACTTAAATAAAAACAATAATTGTTTTGCATATCAGTGGACTATCAATTTTTTTACTAAAGCATTGTACAACTATTTACTTTAATCACGTCATCATAAAACTATTGGAAGTCATGCTTTTCTCATCACAAGACGAGTAATTGTTATTACAATGTAGTTTTTGTAATACTAAGTAACTAAATACTTTTCTCAATTAGTATTTAAGTCACACTTTTAGTATAAATGATAAGATTTTACTACTAATATATTTTTTTTTTTCCATTTAAATCTGATTACTTATCATAAGTATGTCTTATCATAGTTTTAGAATAAAATATAAGATATTATTTTCGATATATTTAAATATTTTAATATCGGCATGTACTGCATTAAAAAAAAAAAAATTCTGACTAACTTTCTATGATCAAGAAGTTCCAGTAATAATCTTAAGCTTCTCAAGCTATATTTAGTCAGACTCACCTTATAATTTATGTATTATATTATTCTTTGTTGAAAACCCAAATGTCACGTATTTACCAGTCACAAATAGAAAAAAATAACACTCATTGTTTTTTCGTTTTTTTATTGTTTCTTTTTTTCAGAAAAAATTGCTTTCAACTCATCCTATAGTAATACACGACAGTAAAAAATTCCGGACCAAATTGCTCTGTAAAGTACCGGCACTTTGGGAGCATCATAAGTTAACTCCAATTTAAAGAAAATCTATTTTTACCTAAAAATATTTTACCTCTATTTCTACAGTATTATTTATTTAATTAAAGTGATTTTACTGTAGTTATTACAGTAGAAATTACTAAGTATCAAATTTTTTGTTCATTAATTTGCTCCATTAAAAATGGATTTTACGGTAAAAGAGAAACCCGCACCTTGAGTGTGGGTACTTTTTACCGTAATTTGATCAAAAGTTTTCACCATGTTGTTGGATTCTGTTCCTCCTAAGAAGATAGTAAATTTTAGGAAAGTTTTACATATTTGATTAAATAAGCTTAAAAGTTGTTTCAACTTCAAATTACTATCTTTGAACAATAATTATGCAATGAAATAAAATACACAAATCAAATGTTGAATTTTGATTCACAAATTACGCTGATTGCCGTTACTCTTTGACAGAATTTATTACTGAGTACTGGTTAAAATAAGCTAATTGATTTTTTAATTGACTATTTCCATTTTATTTGAGAGCAGAATACTACCTTTGAAAACAATTTTTCCACTGCTATCTTTCCTTGACTCTCAATCAGTCAAATACGAGTATTATAAATAAAGGAAAGAATTTAGCTTCACATGTAATCGTTAAACATCATTTCACTTTTTTAAAAAAAGTCATTTGCATTAGGTTATACAGTCAAACCCCGCTATAGTGAACACGGTTTATAGTGAACTCCCGGATATAGTGAACGTAATGTTCGCTCCTGTGCCTTGCTACACACGCATAACGTAATTTTTTGTGGATATCGTGAATCAAAACAAGAGAGGAAGTTGGATATTATGAACTTTTTTTCTGTCTTCGACTGATTTATTTTCTTCATTCTTTTGTAATAATTTTGAAATTTCTACTTCAAAATAAATACATATATACCAATTTTTAAAACCATCTATAGCATGGAATGTAGCAATAAGCATTTTTCTTTCTTGCTTCTTTATGGAATAGCATTATTGAATTGGTTCGTTCAGCATTCAAAGAAACAGCAATCTTCCAGTATCTGGACAAATGCTTGAAGTCAAAGCCGATGAATTTGCTAGGCGATTTGGTGAGATTACTTTTATATGCTCGAATGGATGGTTAAACAGATTTAAAAACCGGAATAACAGAAACTCAGAAAAAATTATCGGAGAGTCGAGATATGTTTCCATATCTGATGTTGAGGATTGCACATCAGCTGAAGATTACTAATTTTTTTGTACGCAAAGCAAAGAGTAATAAAAAATAAAAGTTAATACATTCTTGTTACTACGTAATATTTTTCAGTCATATTTCGTATTTCATTTTATTAGTCATTTATTTAAATAATGTGTAATAAAGGGGGGGGGGAGTTTGGAAAGATTAATTAAAATTGTTTGCGGAAGTCCCGGTTACAGTGAACCGAAATTTCGGTCCCTTGAAGGTTCACTATAGCGGGGTTTGACTATTGAATTAACAACTCACCGCTTTCATTTTAGACTGCGTTATCAAATTAATTTAAGAACATTTCTTAGGAAAATAAAACTGTAATTTATTTACAAGGTACATAAATGTTGCTAGTTTTTTCATTCTCCCATCAACTGTCTGTCATATAAATATTCTCCTAATGGATTGTCCTTCATTGCACCGAGAACAGATATGTGACGTAGCAAACCATCAATTGATTCAACTTGCTCAGTGAAATATTCCTTCTCTAAGAAGTCCATCAGCTGTAAGTAAAATAAGTTCAATATTTTGAATCAGAAGGTTTTTAAAACTCATAATAACATGATTCCAGGAATAGCCATTCGAAAATAAAAATAATCGAATAAAAATAATTAGATGTCGTGCATAAATCTGAACTATAAACAAAATAATTAAAAAGGATTCATCGCTAACTCCCTGACATAGAATTTTTTTTAAACATATTTTTCATACTTTTTTCATTATTTTGAATTTATCTAGGTAAAAATAAGGGGGAAATATTACATTTAGCATATTAATAATTTATATTTATGAAATACAGCCTGAAAACTGGTATCTTTTTCTGCGTTAAAGATAAAATCTTCCAAAGAGAACTTACTTCCAAAGATTAATTTTTCAAAATTGCAATTATTTAGGTTTAAGAGAAACAATTGATCATCGTTGAAATTTCTGCAATTTACATAATACATTTGTTAATACATTCTTAACTGAAATTTTTTAATATTTTTTGACTTAAAATTTTTTTATCTACTTTTTTATATTTTAGTACAAATATAATTCTGATAGTCTTAACAGATTTTTTTAATAACTATTAGACAGATTTTAAAACTAAAAATTACCAATAATAATTACGTTTAAGCAGTGAATTTGCACAATTTGTATATATATATGCACAAAATGATACTGAAGTAAGGCTGTGTGAACTTGTGGGGTAAAATACCATTTAAATCTGAGTTGCCATTGTAAAGGCATGTACGAATGTTGAGTCCTTAATATATTTTTTAAAATAGGATTCATTCAAACTAAAGAATACTGTTCACCCTATAACATCTTCTTCGCTTGGAACTTGTAAAAGAGGATTCTTTTTCGGGATTATAGAAGTCCAACATCAAATGTAAGTTGAGTAACAAAATACTTCAGAGGAAGGCCCAAACAACCAAAACTTATGCTCAGAAGTGTGTTTAGCGGAGATTTTATAAATTTTCTAGATTCCGTGGAACTAAAATTTTGTAATACGTCCTCTGGTCAATGTCTCTCTTCTCTCTACTGATGTCAAATTTGGAAGTCATGTTCTTCGATTAAATAATAATCATAATTGACCAATAGTTTAGAATTTCAGACTAATTTGATATTTTTCTAATTATTTTCTATTGTTTATTCAGAGTAAGGCTCATTCAAAATTTTTCTAATTGTTTTCGATCGCTTGAACGACATTTATTCGAAATTTTTTCTAATTGCTTTCAACAGTTTGGCCATTCAGGCGTATTCGAAATTTTCCTAAATATTTTCTACTAGGTCTTTTACGTTCATTAGGCATTTTTTCTAGTTACTTTTTACGGTTAGATCATTCAGACTCATTCGAAATTTTTCTAATTATTTCTATTGTTCAGACTTTCATTCGGCATTTTTTTCCAATTACTTTCTAAAGTTTAGCCTTTTAGGCTCATTCAAAAAAATATTTTTTCTTAATTATTTTAAATACATAGACTTACATGAGCATCTTTACAGTGCACGTCAGCGATATCGTGGATATGATGAAGTTGATTATATACTTCCTTCTCCAAATGAAGTGCATCGTTCAAAGCTTCAAATGCACTTCCCCAATTAACTTTGACAGGCATCTATTAAAAATGAATACACTTTACAAAAATACGTTACATGCATAAATATAGGTTTAAAAAGAGAGCGTTACACATTCGATATTACATTTTTAATTAGAATATAAACCTACATCGTTTTAAATGCTAAGTAATTCTTCATTTGATTAACTCAAAATGGGAAACAGTAACATTGCAATAACCAGAGTATACTTAATTTAAAATTACTATGAAGGTACTTATGGTTTTATAATTATAAATGACATTTTCTCTATGTTGCATAACGTAATTATTCCTCATCAAAATTCAGCATTTCTTTAAATGATGTTGATATTCCGACTCTATTTTACTATTTTTGTATTATTAAGGATACTTTAGTTAAAAGAGTTTATAAGGAATAAACGTACTTTAGATTCTGTATAAAACTAATTACTTTTCAATTGTTAAACCTATAAATTCTGCTCAACTCTTCATAACATATAACACCTCATAAAAGAAAGAATGCCTCCACACGGATCAAATTATTAGTCCGACGTACGAGCATAAATTGCGCATTGGGGTTAATAAAAATATCCCAACGCTCAGACTAAAGGACCGTATTTCTCTTTTATGGTAATCCATGCAAAGGCTCCCTCTCTCTTCTAGAAGGTATTGCTTTCACCCAGCAACAATCCATTCGTTTTTATTACAGTTTTAAAATGTCATATTTATATTTTCAAATTCATATCTTTTAACTGCATTTCAAAAAAAATTAGTTTTAAAATATTAAAAAAAATCTTATGTCTGTATTATCAAAAGGAGGGTCTTTTTAAAAATGTAAATGGGTTTAATTTTTATTATAATTTAAAAAGTAAGCTAATAATAAGGGTTGGTTAAAAATAATTTTTAACATTTTTCAATGTAAGACAAAAAAAGAATAAATTTAATACTTAATAAAACGCATTTAATTAAGTATTATTAAATTAATTTAGCATCACCCCTTAATAGCTTAATATTCCAATCATAATGGATGCATGCAAATGCAGTTTTAACGTATAGATGTGAGTCGGTAATAATACTTTTGTAATTCATACATCGATATTGAAATCACTAAACTTGCTTCCCCTGGAATTCAGGTAATCAATCAACTTCTGCGCATGCTCTCTTTCTTCTTTGGAGTTCTCACTAAAGAATTTTGCAAAGCCTTTTCGTGCAACTGCATTTTGTTCAAAGTGGGCAGCCTAAATGGAGTAAAAACAATGTCAATAAATTATCAAAAGAAGCTGGATGTTCTATCATATCACACATCAAAAAGGCTAACTTTGAATTTATTTAACAGCATTAGGAATTTCAACACAATTACGGTCAGTGACTTGGAAAAAGTGTTTCAGTTATTGGTAAATAAAAATAAGTTTGTGTCTGTAAATATTAGAGGGTCATAAAAATACAGGTCTAGCCGTACTTTTTTTCGGCATAAAATAATATGTGCGGTCTAAATGGAGTAAGAACAATATCAATGATTTATCAAAAAAATTTGATGTTCTATCCCGTCTCATATCAAAATGTCTGACTTTTGAGGTTATTTATCAGCATCAATAATTTCCACAAACTCTAATAAAATTATGGTCAGTGACCGGAAAAAACTACTTTTAGTTATTGATAGACAAAAACAAATTTTTGGCTGTAAATATCAGAGAATCATAAAAATACTGGTCTGGCTTTCCTTTTTTTCCTTCTTTTTTTCATAAAATAATATGACTACTAATGTGCTCGCTGTTCGGGGTCGTCGATGTAAAGAGTGCTTTTGTATCTGTAGTCTGATGTTGTAACCACCAAGAAAATGTGCGCACATTTTTCATCTGAATCAACAGTATATTTAATGGTTGTAAAACTCTTAGAGGAGTAATTTATGTAGCGAGACTCTTATTATAAAACTCTTAGACTCTTATTATAGACTCTTATTATAAAACTCAAACTCTTATTATAAAACTCTTAGAGGAGTAATTTATGTAGAGAGAGTTTCTAAGTCGTAAAGAACGTTGTTCCGACAAAGACAATTTTACTTCCAGTAAATCCATCTCCAGCCTTTTACTATGGCAGTAAATTACTGAGCTGTGTTTGGAACTATAAAATTTAATAAAAATTTGTCACATACTTTTGCATTTCTGAATGTGGAGAAAATTCCTAATACAAGGACTTTATACATTTTAAAGCATGACTATTGTTCTTTCATATTCATTTCTGGACATTTTATTTTAAACTGTAGTCATCCGTCGTTGTTGTAGGCCGTTATCTAATGAATTCATTTTTTATATTTTTATTATAATTGATAGATTATACTGTAGTTCATATTTGTAGGAATTTTCATTAATATTTAATTTCTTATTTGATATGAAAATGTTAAACTTTCTACTGCTTTTTCGATAAAGTACATGGATTGGATTTAGCGCATTATTTTCCTGCCAATATGTCGCAAACATACGCGTTTTATTTTCATTCTGTGAATTATATTTATAAATAAGCAAATCACTCTATAGTTTATTTATTAATAAATGTTGACGCTTTAAAATGAAATTTTTTGTTGTTGATAATTTCAAAGAAAATTTAATTTGAAATTCCAATTTGTATTTATATATAAGGTACAGTTTTTTGTATCAAAAAGCTGAATTTTCTTATAATAAATTTCGACAATACATAAAATTTTTAAGTACAGAAACATTTATTTATTTATTTTTCATTATTTAGAAAATTATTTTACAATTTAGGAAAAGTATTTGGATATACATATATTTGTTGGAAATTTTATATTTATTATTGCACATTAATTATTTAGGAAAAATATTAGCTGACTAAAACTGAATTTACATGACTGTAACAAATAAACAAATCGCTCTATAATTTATTTATTTTGATGCTTTAAAAATAAATATTAATTTTAATAATTTCCAACCAAGTTTAATTATAAACTTTAATTTGTACTTATATATGATGTACAGTTTTTAGGTTAAAAAAATTAAATTATATTTTAATAAATTTCGTCAATATATGAAATTCATAGGCGGAATTTCTTTTTTATTATTATTTAGAAAATTATTTTATTATTTAGAAACAATTATTTGGATATACATATCCATGTAGAAAATTTTTAATTTAGTTAATTAAATATTTATTATATTGTATTTATAATCTCGGAAAATTACTAATTGTTTAAAAATATGGTTGAAACTACCATGTTTTCGGTCTCTAATAAATTGCCGTGCTTCCGGCTCTATGAGAACACCAAGAAACTCGGTAATTTCTACGAAAGTGATTCGGTAATGAATTTGGTGAAATTAACAATAAAGTTCGGTTTTATAATCTCTGATAAAATTAGTAAATGTCATAAAATTTGTTAATTTTATTATAATAACTTGGAGTATGGCATAAAACACAAAGACATTTTTGAGCAGGACATTTTATTCTGGTAAAAAAAATAATAAATAAATAAATTTAAAAAAACTATAATTTTGAAAACTACTTCCCGTCAACCTTTACCATATGAAATAAAAAAAATTATCAAACAGTTTAAATACCATGCATTTTGGTTTTATTATAGCAGTTATTGGATATATCTTTACCAGAAATGTCATTACGATACAGTAAAGTAATTTTACCAGAATTTTTTCTCTGTGTAAAATATTTTCATCTAAGTTAATCATCATTATAATCTATTAACAATAAGTTAAAGGATATTCTTACCATATTCATATATACACCAAACACCATATTCATTTACATCGAGGTTATTCATCATTAAAATTTATCAGTAATAGGTTAAAGGATATTCCTACCATATTCATTGACACCGAAGTTAATCATTATAGTATATCAGTAATAAGTTAAAGGATATTCTTACCATATTCATATAGACACCAAATACCATATTCATTTACACCGAGGTTAATCATCATTATAATTTATCAGTAATAGGTCAAAGGATATTCTTATTATATTCATTTACACCGAAGTTAATCAATCATCATTATAATTTATCTGTAATAAGTTAATAGATATTCTTACCATATTCATATAGTCACCAAATACCTTATTCATTTACACCGCAGTTAATCATCATTATAGTATATCAGTAATAAGTTAAAGGATATTCTCACCATATTCATATCGACACCAAATACCATATTCATTTACACCGAAGTTAATGATCATTATAATATGGTAGTAATAAATTAAAGGATAATCTTACCATATTCATATAGACAAGACTAGCGTGCATTTCTACATTGACTTGTGATCTCAAAAGTGTCATGCATGCTGGATAAAGATGATATTTATCACCAGATTCATCTTTCACGTCGTTGCTGGACAACTCTGAAAATGTAAATTACAAAAAACGCTAAAATAGTTAAATTTTATTCACAAGAAAGAAAAAAAGGAATTTCTTATTTACCTTTAAATATCAGAAAAATATTTAAAAATGAGGCGTAAGGTAATTGAAACACATTTGTTTACATAATTTTTTATCGTAATCCCAATCGTATCGTATATCGTATCTCCCAATGTTAGAAGTTTAAGTGAGGACACTGGTGCTGCCAGTGATTCGGATTTCAACTATACGTCATAGACTGGAAACATAGAAACCAAAAATTTAGACGGTGTACAGAAAAATGTACAAAAGTTCGAGGGTATAAAAAATTTAAAAATTCGATAATTAGCTAAAAAATTATTACTTACTTAGCTTGTAGTAAAAAAAATAATATACGCAGGTTACAGGTTATAATAACAGGTTACTGTTCAGATCAGACAAATGCTGCTACCGGAATGTAATTGCTGAGAGTGTCATTTTCATTTCCTTTGGAAACGAATTTTTTCAAAATTCTAGTTTGATTGAAAGATATTACTTATATTCTTCACATAGTTCATTTATCAATAAGTTTATGCACTTATAACTTAAAATAAGTAAATTAAGCAATGGAATCAAACTTAATAATAAGAACTAAATACAATGAATTACAAGTGCTTCTAATTTCTAAATCGTTAAACCGCATGCTCATGAGGATATTAAAAGTGGATTTAAAAATTTTGCTCTAAAAAATTATGAATTATACTCTAAAAATTTATAAATTATTACTCACGTTTTACGCCTACAGCCACTGCTAAAAGAAGGGTAAATCCTGCTGTAATCCACACCATTTGTTTTAACATTTTATGAAACTTGACTACCCATAAAATTCTATGCTATGAGTGGATCCGAATAATCAAAAATCTCAGAAAGCTGGAAAGTGGTCATAGGTCAGAGCGATAACCAATACATTTTTAATAACATCGAAGGTCAATAGCATCGTCGATATCAAGATCCCTAGATACGGAATTCGTAGTGGGAAAAATTTGTCAGTCCTTGGCTTGCTCGATTTGTTTTGATTTCAGAACTCTAAAATGAGAACGTTGTTAAGGAACTCTAGTAATGTTTTTAGAGCACTGGGTTGAAATATAAATGATAAATTCAGATACTGTTTGTAGCATATCAGCTTAGTTACATAATTGATTAAATCCAAAGCTTTGTCCGGTGAAAAGTATCCATGTTCGTAATAGACAAATAGTTTATTTTTTAAACAAAATTCATTGATTATTTTGCTTTAGAAATTTCAGAAATAAATTAATATTCATTGAAATATTAAATTTGGCTACCTTTTATCTCGTTTGTAGAAATTGGATGTAGTAGGTGTGGTATTTTAGTGTGATCAAAATATTGACCTCCCCGTTCTGGTAGTAAACGTTAAATATTTTAATAGATGCGATAAAACAATTTAGATTAACAAATTAATTAACTCATGCAAAACATTAATTTCTTAGATCAAAGTATGCATGGTCGTAAAATTAGCCTTCATTGAAATTAATCAAAATTACATTTTAAACAACAAAATATATTACATGCCAAAAATAAAATAATTTACCGCGTGAATAAAACACCAGCTAGTATATCACACAAAGGAAAAAAATATAGCGGAAGTTAAAATTCGTGATCCTCTAAGGTAAAAGAATAATTTGAAAAGTTAAATAAGGTTGAACAAAAAAACGTTGAAATAATGAGACAAAATATTAAATTAATTACTTACATTCCGTTTATTCATAATTTTAGAATAATATGCCCTAATATAGCACATGGTACGATTTTTTTTAAGCACCAATTGATATTAAATATTTAAAAAAATGAATGCTCCACAGCATTAAATCACTAAAGCATAACATCATACATAAATTAAAAAATTTTGGTGAATTTATATGATTTTGATGAAATTAGATTTAAAATCAAAAAGTATTCTAACACAGTCTATTCAGTATTTCTCCTCGGCCTGGGTGTAATAGGTATTTTCTTAAGGGCTGCTTTCTTTCCCTCACATCAGCCTTATCTTTCGCTGGTGTGGTTGCATTGGTGCATCTTCTCTTTCACACATTCATTTACAGTTAATTATCTATTGGTTAAGCCTGGTGGTTGTTCATATAATTTGTCCTAATGTTAAACATTCGTTTAACAAGATGAATTTTTTATTTTTTCCCCTCAAATACAAAGTATTACATTGGTATAGTTCGTACGTATTAAAACTGCATAAGTATAGTACAGCTGTAATATAAATACGTGGGGAATATAATCTTATGGCTCCTCTATAAAGATTAGAACCGGAAATTTGATTGATTGTGATACACTTTGTCTACTATGAGTTGGCCTCTAGCAACAGCATTATGCTAAATGATACTGAATACAGTTAATATTTATTTTGATGAGATGAATTTCTAGAAAAGTATTTTCCTAAAAGTCTAATAACGTAAAGCCACATGAAGGGCAACAAAGAATGATAAGTAAAAAAAGAGGAATTATTGATTTTGTCGCGGCATAATTTTCAGTTTTGTACATTATTTCTTTTAGTACTGGTTTATTGATTATTTCACCTCGTGCCAGGAACGGGTATTCAACTAGTTAGGTATAGCCTACGGATTTTGTGTTCTTAATCATATCCACAGTTAAAAGATTTTTTTTTCGGGGGGGGNCACAGTTAAACGATTTTTTTTCGGGGGGGGGGGACGAATATTTAATTGTGTTACTTTCTCCCATTTATATATAAAAAATTTTATATATTTAATGCACAAATTTTTTATGAGATTGAAAAAGAGTACTAGAGTTTCATTTTATAATTAAAATTTCATTTATTAAAATTTCATTTTATTATTAAAATTTCATTTTATTATTAAAATTTCATTTTCATTATTAAAAAAAAATTTTTTTAAAAAAAGAAGAAGAAAAAAATCTGAAAACAGTTTATTTCAAATACAAATAAAAATACTTCAGTTTAAAAATTTAAATAACCACTTTTCCGAAGTCATTTTTTAAATGTTTTTTTCCCCTAGTACACAAAATAAAAGGCTCCTCTGAAATAGTTTTCATATTCACTCCTGTTATTATCTCATATATTTTATACTTCATTTAGCTTTTAACATATGGTGCTGCTATCTAGGGAATTTTTAATGAAATAATTTAAATTTATCCCTTTTTTTTTAATTTCCTTATTAGCCGATATTTTATGAAAAAACGGTCTTACCTCAAAATGCTTCAAAGAAATTCGTTTAACTCAAAAGTTATGAAATATGAAAAAAATATACTTTGTATTTTCCATTTATTTCCAAATGTTTTATTCAAAATATTTCGTCGAAATTTCTCACCTACTGAACCTGTTTTATTATGTCGCTTACTTCTTAGATGTAGACGCAGCCTTTCGTTGGTTGAAGAGTGAAAGTTATGAGAGTGGGATACCAGCTCAGGCACTGTCCACGTCATTTGATCAAGATTAAAATTACGTGGTACTCTTGCCGTGGATTTAAAAAGATGGAGCCCTGAAAAATGCCGCTGGATGGTAATGTCATGGTTTGGTGAGTGTGTTTTATTGTTCTATATTTGAGGATAGGGGATGCTATTAATCACTGAAATTTTACTACATTTCTTAAGTAACAATAATGTTTTTAAAATTTTTTTAATCTTTGAAAAAAATATTTTAACTAGAAAAAGAAAGTATAAATTGAATTATTCGATAATTGTTCATCAGATTTAGATATTATTTTTTAATTTAAATATTAATCTACGTTTTTTAATGTATAGTTTTGGAATGCTTATTTTTTCGACAAATGATATACAAAATATTTATGTTAAGGGTGATGTTTAAAGAACACCAAGTTTTTAAAAAGTAAATTTAATATTTCTTCTGCGTTTTTCGTCTTAACTATTCTTGAAAGCCTCAAAGAATCAACGTCTGAAACATGATTGGAAGTTTTAATTTTTTGTGAATAAGAATAAGTAATGCAAAACACACTCATTTTTACGAGATGTAACTATTTTGTCAAAATGCAAATTATTGCAAATTTTACGTTTTTTTTAAAAATTAAAATAAGAAAGAACGGAAAATAGGTATACACATTACGTTTATATGCGAATTAATAATTAATGCCGTATAGCGAGAACTATACCTATATTTTCGTAAATTCTTTAAAATACTTTTTTTAATTTTTGATAAAAAAAATAATTTAAAATGCAAAAAAGGTTTTAAGATAAAAAAATATTATTGATATATTTATTTTGTTGCTCTTTTCTCTACAAGGACTTTCTTTTTTCTTTTTTTTTAAATATTATTAGATAAAAAACGAAAGAAATGCTTCTTACAATTTTCGCTGCCACTCGCACAAGCCTCGGGAAGCTCTAATTATACAATAAAATATACTTAATATCCTTCAAAGAAATAATCTAGAATTTAAAATCCTTCATAAATAAAAATAATTTTTGTTTAAAATTCAAAAAAGCTTTCAGAGAAGAAAATTTAATGTGACAAGGAAGAAATGTTAGAAAGTAACGAAGAAGAAAACTTTGATGTGACCTTTTCCCTTTACGTAGTACTAAGGAAGTGCAATTTTCAAACAAGTACGAACTTTTGTAATGATTTTTTTGCAGCAAAATATTCTGGTTTTCTGCGATGAAGTGTACCAGAATGTTCTTTTTCATGATTACGTATGGAAGGCCGACTTTTTAACTAAATTAAACTCCAGTGCATCAGGGATTTTATTGTACAAAGAAGAATTCTATTTTTTATATTTTATAATCGTCGTTGAACAGCCCAATTTTTTGGGTTTACGACTGCTAATATTCAACTCCGTAGCCTTGTAATTTTGAACCCAATCCACAAGACAAGGGAACTACTGTATCAAGCATTGGGTGAAATTTGCCTACGTGGAGGAATTTTTGATGGAACTAACCCGCATTAGCGTTACAGGAAGAGGAAGACCACGAGAACCTCCCACTGCTAGCCAGACGGCAAAGGGACTCTAAATCAGGATCCATCCACCACACAGGATATTTCACGTCAGCACTGTGGTCGGTACAAGCCGGATACGAATTCGTAACCACCAGCCATTGCTGGAATTCGAATCCGGCTCACCTCATTGGAAGGCGAACAGAGGAATTCTATTATCTTTACTCTAAAAGCACACCATTAGGTGAGTTCTGCAAATGTGCACCCTGAATCACTTAAGCTCCGCGTCACGAATCTCACCCATTTTATTATTATTATTTTTTTTTTTTTGAAGTTCAGGAATTATTAATATGATATAACTTCTCCATTTTATAAGATAAAAAATGTGTATGCATCTATTTTCATGTCAATTTCAAGAGCAAACGGCGTTGTTCAATGTTTTTTAAACAAACATGATGGTTCTAACCAATGTACTAAGAGCCTATTTTCAAATTTTTCATCAGCATTTCGGATTGTATTTATTTTTGAATATCTCTATAAGATTGACAATCAAACCATGAAATAATTAAAATTAAGACCAATGAAGGAATTTTAATACAATGAATTTTTATTATTTGTTAAAAACGATAGCATAATTCCAATATATTTTCTTAACCAATAAAAAAAATAATTTTTTTAAAATAAAACTTAGTCTCGATGAGAAAATACTTTTTCCTATTTAATTGAACAATCGTAACAATTGAAATATAAAAAAAATTGATAATTGTTTTAGTACAAGAAAAATATATGTATATGCTTAATATGTATATGACTATATCTATATGAGTAAGACTCAACTACGTGAATTTATTTTATGCTCCCAACAATTAATTAAAATTTGATTTAAATTACTGCGTCCGAAGCAAATGTAGTTAATATTTTTCATCAATACAACACAATAGTTATTCCCAAAATATTTCTCGCTATACAAAAGCCGTTATACCCAAACATTTTCTTCTCAATTTC